AGGCACTAAGGGTACCGCACGTGTTCAGGACCTTGGACGAGGAAGAATTAAGACAACTTCGCGCCGAACGCAGAGCCCGTGCTCTCGCAGCATCGAGAGCAACAGCAAACGCCGCAGCTAGGGAACAGGCTGCCGCAGCAGCTAGGGCAGCAACCATGACTAGCTCAGCAGCATCCTCTGCGGCTTTGTCAGGGACTAATGGGATGAGTGTGGGAATGCCAACTAGTTCCACGAGTTCCTCGGGGACTTCCGGGTCTACAGGTTCTAGAGGGTCTTTTAGTCAAATGGCAGGCTCGCAGTTCAGCCCCATGACCGCACGAGAGCGGGAGCTCAGAGAGATCCAACAGGTCGAGAGGCTCCGCCAGCAGTTAGAGGAGGATCTGAAGAAAGCAACCGATAGAGAAAAAGAGCAGCCAGACTTGATACGTTAGAGGCTGACAAGGCTGCGTTAGAGGGATTGGACGAATCAAGTTTGTCTGACCCCTGAAAGTGTTGAGGGACAACATGTTGTCACTCCATGCCCATGTGGACAGCAGGATGGACTTCATGCAAAGCACTTTGGACCAGATCCTGGATGCATTGACAAAGCCACGATTCCGGCCACCAGCACAATCGTCGTTACCGTTAACGGCGATGTCAGGCCCCTTTGCCGTACAAGCTGGCACACAGCCAAGTGATACGTCTGCAGCAGCAGCACAGACTGTTGCATCTTCTTCTTCGGGTCCAGTGGTGATTGCTACATCACCACAACAACCTGTTCAGCAATCTGGACAGCAGCAAGGTCAATGGTACCCCAAGACCCCAATGAAACCGCCTCTTGCCTTCTCAGGCGAGAGAAAGGACGAGGAACTCAACACATGGTTGAGGACGGTCCCCGTTTGGGTGAAGGGCAAAAGGACCTTGCCAGAGGATGAGGTGGTAACTGCGGCATCTTACCTAGAGGGTAAAGCAGCCAAATGGTTAGATGGGGTAGTTGTGAAAGCCGGGTACAGGCGACGCATGGCAGATTGGGCTAAGTCTTTGACTCTAGACCAATTCATGGAGATGGAAGAAGCTCGATGGCATAACCCACAGGAGGCTCAAAGGGCCACTGATGCCATTAACAAACTTGACCAACGCAAGTTTGGGTCAGTTAGGGAGCTTACGACTACCGTCGAGAGCCTGATCCTCGTCCCAGGCATCAACTACAGTGACCAGTTCCTCTTGACCACGTTTGTTAGATGTCTACCTGAGAACACGAGGAACTTACTAGCCAGTGAGGCACGCACTGAGTACCACTCATTTGAGACATTGTCTAGGAAAGCCTTAGACTTAGAGGCCACGCTAGGCAATGCTCAACCCACCTCAGGGAATGACTCAAAGAAGAAGAAGAGTCCTCAGGAGTGGAAGAAGAAGGGGGAAAAGTTGACGATGGTCGAGTCTGATGGGACTCAAACTGAGATCGATGAGCTTTCTGACCTAATAGACTACTCAGAGTATGACGGCAAGGAGGTAGCTGAGGGTAGCACCCTCGCCGCGGTAGTAAAGACTAAGGCAGGTGGCCGAGGGAAGGGCCAACCCAGGAGTCAAGGGAAGGCCGCCTCCAATCAGTCCAAACAGGCTGAGTGGGTCAAGGCAGGTCTTGACCAGGACGTGTGGCGTGACCGCCGATCGCGTGGCGCTTGTATCAACTGCGGTGAATACGGACACACGCAGTGGAAGTGCCCGAACGCTAAGGTTACGCAAAAGGTTG